CCCCCCCCCACTTCAAGTTTCCATTGTAACAAAATAATGAATGTTATTCACTTCACCTCTGTGGTCAGAATGTTATGGCTGATTGGTGTATATTTACCATTTGTGGCAGGTTCCAGGCAAATGCAGGAGTTTTCTCCAACCTTTTCTATACCAGTTCTAAGAATTAGACCTTAGTAGCAGAGAGATCAGCTTACACAAGAGTCCGTGACACAGTAGGGGGATGACCCGTCTGTTCCTCCTCTTCCATTGTCACTGCCTATGCACAGGGGGCTTCTAGAGCAGGCAGTGCTGGGCTTGCTTTCTTACTAGATAGTCCAGCATGCTTTGCTATGGATTGACCCTGCTTTACATGATTATTCTTGAAATAAAGATTTTGTTCCAAACCAAGAGAAAATGTAAATGCAAGGAATCAATTTTATAAGATTCTCAGATTAAATTAACCAAAAACAAAAATACAGTACATTAAACCTGAAATCCGACCTTCCCTTCAGTCTCGCACAGTTGTAGCGGCTCCTCTCCTGGACTGCTTAAAGCATGACAAAGTTTTACCTGTTGATCCTGTCTATAGATCTGTTCATTTTTCACTTCTTCCTGTAATAGGGACCGGGTCCACAGGGTGACAATGCCATGGTTTGATTTCACTGCAAAACAACCAGCGTTGTCACCGTGTGGACAAGGTGGTCTCAGGTGGACATGTACTTTAAGTGGACTTCCAAGTATACAACAAACAAAGCCCAACTCCAGATTACACTGCTGCCAGAAGATCCATTCTGTTTCCACTTCCCATAACTAGAGACTCTATAGGGTGACCACACTGCTGTGTGCTTTGTTTACAGAAGATATAGTGTTGTCACCCTGTGCGACTGAGTAGTCTTAGATGAACTTGTAATGTTAAATGGATTGCACATAAGCGACATCTTTTCTGGACAGCTTGGCCTGTTACGGGAAGAGGAATCGTAACCGATCTACTGGCAGGATCAACAGGTAATAAAACGGTTACAGGGGGGACTCATGAGAACAAATTCTACTGTGTTAATGCTACTGAATTACTGCGGCATATGTCGTTTTTGATGTAGCCCATATTTACACTTTATGGGGACCCCGTCATTTCCCCCTCACAGAAAGCGATGTCGTTTTTTTATATGTTAGTAGTGTAGATGATGATCTTGTGGTTTTTGCTTTTCCCCTCCTCAGTCTCTCGGTTGTGTACTGTATTCCATGATGTTTGGGGAAGGGCCATATGACATGATTTTCCAGAAAGGAGACAGCGTGGCTCTGGCTGTTCAAAACAACATCTCAATCCCTGAAAATAACAGGTAATAATGCTGGAAACTGACTATAACAGCCTGGTTTTTGTTTCCCGGATATACATTTCTTGTATGGGCGTTGGTCATAAGGACAGGAAGTGGGGGAGAAATCTCCCAAATGGGGATACACGGGAACAAAAACCATCACACAAACACACACTGAGGGCCTGTTCACGCGGCGTCCGTTTTCTGTGCTGACCTGATCCGTACGCTCCTGCACTCAAAATGTATCCCTATGTGTTTTATGGGCTACAGTTCTCATGTGCGCAGTCCGTTCAGGTTACGACAGAAAAAATACTGCATGTCACATTTTGTCCGGTCAGGAAAGGGACCGGAAACGCAAAACGCGTCAAAAACGCACTGCAGCTAACATACTGACAGCCCCACTCCAGCAAAAAAATACTTTTAATCATGTGAACAGGCCCTGAAAGTGTTTTAGATGACTTGTGTTGTTGTACCTAAAGGAGCCAAGACCACGTGCTGAAGTCCACTGATTTACAAAGAGAATACCCTTGCCCTCTTTCTGCCTACACAGTAGATGTAGGAATTAGGGATGCGCCGATACAGATACTAGTCGGTGACGATACCGAGTATTTGGGCGAGTACTCGTACACGCCCCAAATGTTCCGATACCGGAATTTCCGGTCAACAGATTTCCTCTGACCGGCAGTGCCGTAGGGAGACATGGAGCCAGCTTCCATTGCGATCAGGAAGCTGGGCGATGAGTAATGACCCGGCTTCCTGACAGGCCGGGAAGCTGGCTTCATGCTGATTGGCTGGGAAGCCGGCTTCCCGGGCCGAACAGCATTACTCACCGCCTGGCTTCCTGATTTGGCCGGGAATCACAATTAGGTTGGCCAAACAACATGGAGCCGGCTGCCCGGGCAATCAGAAAGCCGGGCGGCATGTCATTACTAGTGATGGGCTCGGGCGTGTTCGCAGCTCCATGTGGCGAGCCAGCCAGGAAGCTGGCAGCGCCAATCCACAGGTACTGAGACATGTTCCCGGTCCGCAGCTGCAGAGATCGGGAAATGTCTCGGTGCCTGTGATTGGCGCTGCGCGCTGTCAACTTCCTGGCGGGCTTGGCACGTGGAGCTGCGAACACGCCCGAGCCCATCACTAGTCATTACTTGCCGCCCGGCTTCCTGATTGGCCGGGAAGCCGGCTCCATGCCAGCGGAAGCACCGGTATCGGCGAGTACTGAAAGCAAAGAATCGGTACTCGATCCCGAAAAAACGGTATCAGTGCATCCCTAGTTGGAATGTAAATGTAGGGATTGAAGCACCACACCAATTAAAAATAGTCCACATACAACTTTATTCCCTTAGGGTCACTTCCACCCAATCAGCTGCGTCCCGGCATCCACTGTCTGCAGCCGCATATAAACAAAGGGTCGGTGTGCTGATATCATTTACCTTTTATATGGACTCATAATAGTTAAATGTCATTTACCAAATATAGACATGTGACCATATAAGGTCAGTGACGTCACTGCATCCCCTCCCTTTTGCTTATGTCAAGCTGGAGGGAGGGAATTCCCCGCCAGCAGCTGATTGGATGGCGCAGAAGGCGCTTTGTTCTGGGTTGGGACAGAGTTCAGTCTGAACCTGATCTCGTCTCTACTCTCCAAATTTCCCCCGGATGGTTCTAGCACCATTGCTTTATCATTGAGCTCAGCCGTTCTTACTTAATGTTTTTAACCACAAAACGTTTTCCCTCCTGCACAGGTACTCCCAAGGACTGGAGTCGCTCCTTTCCTCCATGATGGTGGTGGATCACTTAGACAGGCCACACATCTCCACGATCCTCAGCCAGGTGGAGGCGCTCTACCCCATGGTAGATGGACAAGCCACCACCAGGATATGACATCACAGGAAGTGACTTCACTCAAGTGCTGCTTAACCGCTAGATCAGTGTCACCCGATGGATCGGTGCGTCTGGATGCCGTGGAGCAGACGATCGGACGCTGTGACATGAAGGAACTTGGTTGATAACAAAATTTGAACTTCTCTGCTTTTTAAGAATAACGGTTTTATCTCTAATATACCTTCAAGACTATTTTAGGGCGCCATTGCGCGACACCCTGGACACACATTCCGCTCCCATGGATGGCGGTGGAAGATGCCTTCATGTACTTTTGTAGAACTATGACACAGGACAACGAACAAGTATGAACACCCCGTCTTGTCTCCCGGAGGCCACTCCTTCTCAGGCCAGTGTCCCGTCTGTCTGTCCTCTGGAGCATGGTCCTGGTGTGCTGTGGATGTATCTGTATGTTCTGTCCCCTCTGTGTGTCCTGTAATAGGAAGCTGTGATTAAATGTCATGCTTGGATTGTATTCTGACCTCCTTTGTGAAGTCTGTGGGCTTAAATCTGACCTCCATCCTTCCCTTCAGTCTTCTATCTGACCTCCGGCCTTCCCTTCAGTCTTATCTCCTCCATCCTCCCTTCAGTCTTCTATCTGACCTCCGTCCTCCCCTTCAGTCTTATATCTGACCTCCGTCCTCCCCTTCAGTCTTATATCTGACCTCCGTCCTCCCCTTCAGTCTTATATCTGACCTCCGTCCTTCCCTTTTCAGTCTTATATCTGACCTCCGTCCTCCCCTTCAGTCTTATATCTGACCTCCGGCCTTCACTTCAGTCTTCTATCTGACCTCCGTCCTTCCCTTTTCAGTCTTATATCTGACCTCCGTCCTCCCCTTCAGTCTTATATCTGACCTCCGTCCTTCCCTTTCAGTCTTATATCTGACCTCCGTCCTTCCCTTCAGTCTTATATCTGACCTCCGTCCTTCCCTTCAGTCTTATATCTGACCTCCGTCCTTCCCTTTCAGTCTTCTATCTGACCTCCCGCCTTCCCTTCAGTCTTCTATCTGACCTCCCGCCTTCCCTTCAGTCTTCTATCTGACCTCCCGCCTTCCCTTCAGTCTTCTATCTGACCTCCCGCCTTCCCCTCAGTATTCCCCAGTTGTATCGGCTCCTCTCCTGGACTGGAGGGGCTTCCTCTGATTTCCCTGCACACAGAGCGCTTCCTACAATGTGCATTAGAAGCTGCAGCAAGTCCGGTAGAGCCCTCCTCATTTCCTGGTTGGAAGAGGTCCAGCATCATCTAGCCCGGGGGTAGACAACCTCAGCACTCCAGCTGTGTTAAAACTTCAAATACTATTATGCTTCTGCCTCTTGAAGTCATGGCCGTGGCTGTCAGTCATGCATGGTCTCCTAGGTGGTCAGCTTGAGTATTGAGATTGCCTACTCCTGATCTCGCCCTTGACTGTCTGTCCCGGCCCGGCCCTTTCATCCATTTGGATTTAAGTTCTTTTGTATGCAAGTTCTGTCTGCCTAGGAATGTTCATTCCTCCAGACTGACACCCACCCATTAGAACATTTTAATATTTGCATAACTCCTCCACGAGCCAACCCACTGCTTGCATCAGGACTGAGAGCTCCTGAAAGGAGACCTGAAGCAGGCTGCTGTGGTGTTTTTAGGAAGCTATGAACAGCATCCTGCCAGCCCCTACATTACATGATCTCTCTACATTGCATAGAGAAGTGCGGAGACTAGGGCTGCAACAACTAATCAATTCAATCGATAATAATCGATTATGAGAATAGTTGGCAACTATTCTAATTATCGGTTAGTGGTTGGGGGGAGGAGAGATTTTTTTTTTAATGCAACCAATCTATTAGTTGAAAAAATAATCGGGCAACTAATCGATTATCAAAATAATGGTTAGCTCCAGCCCTAGTGGAGACGCAGTGATGTAAAATAAGGTATGTAAAAACGGGTTTAAAAAAAATAATGCCATTAGCATGTTTGATAAGGGGGGGGGGGGGGGATAATTTTTTGGTTTTACCTCCCT